AACTTACGAGCACATTTCTTTGTCAATAGGGTAGTGGATAATTGGAATAAGCTACCGTCGGAACTGATTATGCAGTCAAGTGTCCAGGCCTTTAAAAAGGCTCTGGACGTCAGATGTCCTCAAGTCTTGAAGTCTTAAAGTGACTCTCGGGTTCGAGGCTGGCGCCCAATGGTCCCGGATCCTTGAGGTGGCTGGAGTTTTTCCCTGACATAGAATGTTAGATGCGTAAATTGATTTGCGCAATATAGAACGCTTCAACAACAAGGGTCTCTCGCCGACACGGCGAGACGTAAAGCCTCTCTTTCTCTCTGTTTGTAGAAAGAAGGAAAAACCGATCAATCGCAGAGGTGGATGCACACTCGAGGGCACGCCACCGAAGGAAATCTGGACGCGTGATTGGCCTGTAGCCACTATCAGTCCTGTGCAACCTGACCTGACCTGACCTGAACAAACGGAACACAAAGCGGACAACATCACAGACGCAGGTGCGGAGTGTAACGTTAGGTACATTGCCGCGATTTTGGATTTAGTGTCAAACCTGTGCATGTCTCACTGGACCTTTTGGATCATGGTTGTTTTGTATCTTCCCTGTTTCGCAGGTTGTTAGGAAATCCACGTTTAACGGAGATCCTGTCGTTCGAAGTGTCTACTACCCGTGCATTGAGAGCGTCTGTACTGTGCCGAATTAACCACACACCCAAAAAGGGTTTTGTTGGCGGTATTCTGATAGCGCTGTTGGCACCAGGAACTCGCATCGTGTTACCGAAATCAACCTCATGACGTGTATTACGAATCGGGGGCAGCGGTGGGCTAAGTCCTCCACGTTACATGGAGTATGGAGGAATTCACTGGATAAGCATTTCAATGGAAATTGAAGGAAGGGCGAACATTGTATCCAGAGGATTAGACGTGTGGAACCAATGGGAGAAAAAACGGATCGACGGTCAGTGAAAGAAGAACGAGAGATGGAGATTAGCGGATAGAAATGAATAAGAAGGAGGAGTACAGCGAGTTCATACATTTGTCAAAGTACATGTTTCTCCGTCTGCTGCAACACAGCTTACTTGTGAGGGCACATTCATTGGGTTCGAGGCTTCGATTGGTAATGGATTGATTTAGATTATTTAGGCATGGGTCGCTTTGATGTGGGACTGACTACACGCTAGACATCTAACTTCAAAACACCATTCAGGTGAGGCAGAGGGTGTGATCCTCAACCTGGTTCGGAATGCGGATGCATGTAGCCAAAACGGTGGAGACAGCCATGTCCAACAACCATTGCCGGAGACAAGTAGTCCATTGTGGGTTTAGACTCAAAGTCTTTGACAGGACCAAGCCAACCGAATCTGGAACAAAAAGGTGAAACAAAACAGTCTGGGTTAATACCCAGCTGGGAAAGGATGAGCAGGAAAAGAAAATGTCACGAATACTATGCAGAGTGGAATAAAACAAGGTAGTATGTATACCTAGTAAAATATATATATTTATACCTATAGAGTGGGTGATATTAGGTCATAATACTTACAAAAGCATGCACCATGATGGGCTGTGTTCCACAGATCTGACTTGGGGGCTGGATCCGTGTACTGATGTGAATTTAGTTGAGAAAGTGGACACTGCAACCTGGTTAGCAAGTGAAACCGGGATTCACCAATTGAGTCAAACCGGAAGGAGATGAGGTGGATATAAACTAGGCAGCAATAGGTCACAATACTTTTACAAGTATGCGCATGTAGAGATTTCGTTCCACAGATCTAGCTTTGAGACTGGATCCGTGTACTGATATGAATTTAGTTGAGAAAGTGAACATTGCTACCTGGTTAGCATGTGCCACCGAGTTGCGCCAATTGAGTCGAACGAAAACGAGATCAGTTGGATATATAAGCTTACCCTATCTCATATAAAACGGCAGCCTCATGAGCTGACCAAACTCCGTCTTGCAATTAAACCTTCCACTCGGTTTGGCACGGATGGAATTCCTCCCGTACTGCTACGATCTGGTGGGTCGGACATTCCCCTTCTACTAACAAATATGTTGAACCTCTCACCGAAATATGGCAAATTTCCCAGTCAAGGAAAATTTCTACCATCATCCCGCAGCACAAAAAGGGCCCCCTACATGACCCCTCCAACTACCGCCCCATTAGTCACACCCCCATTGCATCGAGACTATTTGTGCGCCTAGTTAAAAAAGATATGACTGAATACCTTCTATCAAACAAGATTCTCCACGATGGTCAACATGGCTTCCTGCAGAAACAGGTCGTGCAACACCTGTCAACTGGATTTCCTCAACTCAGCCACTAAAGCAGGGGACAACGGAAAATCCCTGGTGATAATATTTCTTGATATGACCAAGGCGTTTGACCGTGTTTCTCATGCTCGGCTAGTCACCAAACTGTAAACGTTTGGTATTAACCCACCCCACCCTATCCTGAATTGGTTCTCCTCCTACCTCTCCAATCGCATCCAGTCAGTGTGTGTTGACGGCCACTTCTCCTTAGCTACCCCTGTTACTAGTGGAGTAGTCCAAGGCAGTGTCCTGGGACCCCTCCTTTTCCTCATGTGCATTAATGATATCTTTCCCATTGTCCACCATGGTACACCTTTTTATTTGCAGATGATATAAAAATAGTTTATGAGTTTCAACTACATGAACTCAATCATATTATTACGTTAATACAAAATGACCTCCTCAGACGTGACCAGTGGTGGCGCACATGGAACATGGAATTCCCAGCTAATAAGAGTACCTTTATGACTGTTCGATACCATGTTCCCCCGCAATCTTTCCTAACACACGACACACCTATTACCTACAACCCCTCAGTACGCGATCTTGAGATACACTAATCACACACCTTCAACTTCTCCCAACATGTCTCTTTTCAAATCTCAAAAGCCAAAAAAGCATTGGCTTCATAAATAGATCTCTTATACTTCCTGAATCTAAGCTGCTTTCCTACCTCTCCTTCGTGAGACCATGTTTGGAATATTGCCCAATAATATTTTCTAACACCCGCAAAAGTGATAAAATAGCTTGGGAAAATGTCCGACGTTCTTTTACCAAACATTTACTAGGATATACTCCCCCTCTTAACTTTAATGATCGATGTGCCGTCCTTAACATACAACCTCTATGGCTACGTCGCATGAAACTAAACCTTTGTCTACTACATAGTATAATCCACCACCGCATGTCTTCTTCATCTACCTGGTTAGCATGTGCCACCGCTTTGAGCGAAATGAGACGGGCGAAAAGGAGATCAGTCAGATATAAAGTAAGCAGTAATACGTCACAATACTTTCACAATTATGCACATGTAGAGATTTCGTTCCACAGATCTAACTTTCAGGCCGGATCCGTGTATTGATATGAGTGTGGTTGAGAAGGTGGACACTGTTACGTTGTTGGCATATGCCGTCGAGTTGAGCCAATAAAACCGAAAGAAAACAGATATCATGAGTGATATGAGGTAAGCAGCAATAAGTCACAATATGTCTAAAAGTATTCACAATGATGAGCTAAGTTCCAAAGATCTGGCTTTGTGGCTGGATCGGTGTTCATTTCAGTTTCCGTTTGAATAACCATTAACCACGCATAATCGTGCGCCGGTTTTGGTTGCTGTCTTACGGCTGCCCATTTGGATGAAGAATAAAAGAAGAAAGAAAGGATGAAATTGGAGTCGAAAAGAAAACGACGAAGTTCAGTGGTCTAAGGTTGCAAACAAATTGAGAAGATACACGAACACCACTTGTTGCGACACCCAGCCATTTCACTCAGCGTCTCTAATGTGGTGATCCAGGCCTACACGATGGCGCCTACCCTGGAGCGACGTGTTACAGGTTCCGGACATTGGCGATCAATCAAGTTTGAATGTTGACGTCAATAGGACGTGCATAGCTTCTGAATACACGTTATTGGTGGGTGCTACCAGCCAATCCTGGACAATGCAGACAGAAGCAAGATTATGCAAGCATTGCTGGAATCCAATTGGTTGAAGCCCAGAGAACCAATAATCTCCGTTTGTACATATTATTTAATCACCTTTATTTCTTCCAATGGACGAACTACTCACTGCCTGTCCTCTGACTTTTTCCTCGCGTCTCGTGAGCGACATTGCTTCTGCAATCCAGTCCGTGATAGCTGATTATCGATTCGGGTCCTGGGATTCATATTGCTTGGCTGGTGTTCCGTATTCCGTGCGTAATACTACTACTACTACTACTACTACTACAATCATTGTAAATTGGCGTCGCGCAATGGAGCTTCCAAGTATTGAACAATTGAAACTGCAAGCCAGTTCATCCGAGATCGAGGAATGAGTAGAGCGATTCAAACTGTGGTGCAGTATTTGAAAAGGTGGTGTGCAAAACCAATCGGCTCTATTTCTCACTGCCATGCGAGTCCTTGAAATCGCTCCTGTTCAACCTCCTACTGCCTACTGAATTCCAAGCCCACGAACGTGCTAAAGTCATTTCCATGATCCGTGCTGACCACATGTCTTGCCGTGATTTCATCCTGCAGCTAAACAGACAGGCATCACGTTGCAACTACGGCGATCATTTGAAAGAACAGATGTGTGACCGTTTGGTAGCGGGTATCAACAATCTCACTCTGCAACGCAAGTTACTGGAGGAGAAGGATTTAACTTTTGCCGAAGCCCGGAAAATTCGTGAACAGCATGATGACTTGATGAAGGCTTTTTCCAGCGAAGCAGTCACATTATTCCAACGGCAGAAGACTCCCCTGAATCGACTTCCAACTACCAAAGGTGCACCAAAGCCGCAGAAGGATTCCCCAAGTAATGAAAACGAATCAATCCATGTTTGTCTTGTGGAGCTCACCACCTACGCTGTAATTGCCGCTTTCCTAACGCCAAGTGTCATGCTTGCGGAAAAACTGGCCACATTCGGAGAGTATGTAAACAAACTCGTTGCAATTTTACAAAGCCAAATGCTTCAAACGACACACCTTGTGCTCTCTCTACGTTCTGAAGGCCTAGCCACCTAATTTCTGTACCGAAATGTGTCATTACAGTCCGGTACAACTCACAGATTCATTGCTGACACGGGAAGCATGGAATCTATTATTTCTAATGTTGTGCTTTAATCCATATGCCCCCGAGCAAAATTCCAACCGACATCCATACGAATTCTCGGTGTAACTGGACACCAATTACCATTGATTGGCGAGGTTTCATTGATGGTTCACGCAACAGAAAATCGCCTTGTTCCCATTCGCTTCCTAATTGCTAAAAACAGTCCGTCCATACTTGGCCTAATCACTATTCGTGAATTGAACCACTGTGTGTCGCTCCATACAAACTCTATGTCCAAGATGCACCCCCATCTACAGCACCTGTTTGTGAAATGTTCCAATAATACGGGAGGTATCGACGTACAGCCGGCCAAACTGTAAGTTGATGGTGAACCCATTTTCCTGAAACGGCGTGTAATTCCCTACGGGCAACGGGACGTATGTGACCCAGGCTCCTTGTCAGTGTTTTCATACCTTTCTGCCAGGTCTTAGCATCACCACCCTTGAGTGCTTCCACTCGGTATTTGCTTCGGCGTATATCGCTGGCCTTGGTAAACTATTTGGTGACATGGGTAACACATCCTAAAGAACGTAATCTATAGAGGTCGACCGCTTCTCCAGTGGTCGACCGCATTTACCCAAAACTCTGCCCCTAACTTCAGCATTGCTCATCCGGCAACCCCACCAAATTCGTGCAATGCTGTATAGACAGCGGT